ACGGCCCGGAGAGCCCCTGGTTGTCTCGCGGGCGGTGCGCTCCGCCGGGCCCTCCCACGTTGTTCCTGCCTCGGTGCCCCAGTTCGCACCGGAGCAGGTGGCACCGCTGCCCCTCTCCCCGCTCCGCTCGCCTTCGAACGAGGGATGTTCTCGGGGAGTTTAGGGTTGTGGCCGGGGTCACCCGGCTGCCAAGACCAGTCTGTCGAGATGAGTTACCTGTTGGCTTTGTGCAGAGACGTGCAGTCCTTGAGATGCAGCGGTAAAACCGATAGGACATGCTAGATACCCTGTGACCAGCAGCAGAATTTAACGCTAGGCGGGCCAGCCAAAGGCTCAAGTTTCGTCATTTTTCAGCCCCGTAGAACACAATAGCTCTAATAATGAACTTGAGATTTTTGACCTCCCTTTATTTCAATCTAATTTCCAGAAAGACTTGGATTGGGAACTGCAAAAATACAAAGAAGCTTAAGAGCAAAAATCTGAATTGTATATTTGAACTGTGGATTTGTGTTTTTGAGTGAGTAAAGGGGATCATCTTTGAATAAAACAGTGCTCTGCCTTACCCACACTGCAAGGCACTACAGATAACTGGATCTGTAAAAGTGAAAAGCACACACTACAAACGAAATTTCCTTACGACTGGGGCCTGGGAAGACAGGCAAGGGTCTAAACATAAAATTAGATTTTAGTTATTAGGGATATCCTCTTCTTAGCAATAATGTTTAGGGCAGGGTTTCTCGACTGGCACTCTTTACAATTGGAATGACATGGGGGGGGATCTTGAATATTTGTAGGATATTTAATAGCATTCCTGGCCTCCTCCCCCACTAGAGGCTTAGGGACTGCCCCTCCTCCTAGTCCTGGCAATTAAATATGTGTCCCATTGCCAAAACCCCCCCATGTGACAAGTTTGCCCCCAGCTGAGAGGCATACTGCTTTAAATCTAAAACCATCCTTCAGTCTTTCTTGCTCACACTAGTACTCACTACTGGACATAGAGTTTGGGAGGTTCTGTCAAAGTGCAAGAGACACAATTTCAAACTGTTGTCTGAATCCATCAGACTCCAAATGACATTTTCACAGACCTGTCTTCATTGCAAGGTTTTCTGTATGCACAAGTGTTCATTCATGCTGGTAAGTGAAATGTACCTCCTCTAGGCCGATTACAAAAAAGATACCTATTCTGGATAGACTAATAAAAATGTGTTCTTTCACCCTATAGGCCTTCTGGGGTAGGGCAGGTTGAACATTAAAGATTGACCTGAACTTCAGAGACCCTCAGAAAGTACCTTTGCACCTATACAATCTTCTTTGGTGGCCCTGAGTCAACATACTTCATTTTGTTCTCAGATTTTTTAAGTAGGTGTCTGATTTTCAGTAAGGGAAACAATTTCCATGTCCACTAGGTGTCCGATTTTCAGTAAGGAAAACAATTTCCATGTCCACTGTACTACCTGAGGTTGACCTTCAGCAACCTAACCGCACAGTCTCTGTAGTGATAGCACATCAAATGGCATTAATACAATATATACTTAATGGGCACATTTACAGAGTGGCAACTGTGTATCAGGCAATGGAATAGTATGCTAGCAAGGGGACAGGAGTATACATTTCACTGATACATACTCTTCTCAGAAATCTGATTATTAGATAGATACATTTCATAAGTGTTACTGGAAAGAATAGGAACTTATAAATGGATTTCCTACGATAAGTAGAAAATAATATCATAATTAACAAAATCGTTATTAAGGATAAGATGCCCCAAATTATCTCATATAGGATTTTCAGTAGCATAACTGTTAAACTCTTAACTTCCAGAATTTAAATTCCAAGCAATTCAAGAAATTATATTATACAGTATTGACTAATACATTAATGCACTACAGAAACAAACCTCAAAATCTCAGTGAAATTATGTTTTTAAAGTGTCATTTAGATTGCCATGTGTTAAATGTGTACAGAAGTCAATGTAAATGTAATTGGAATAAAGGGGGATACAAAAATCAGATAATGGGCTGTTTGTGAGGCTTATGGTCAGATGAGGGATGACGGCTTATATGTATTTCTTTTCCTAGTTAACAGAAACATTTGACAAGTTGATCACTCTCTTTATTTTGAGCCATATTCACTGATGAAGTGAATCCAAAAGATGATTTTTGGATTCCACTCTCTTCTATTTCTCCTGCCTCACTCACACCTCACATCTCTATATATTTGAGTACACCAGGGCTCAGTCCCCGCACCTATTTTCTTAAAGCCCTATGTCTTTAAATACTGCCCATGTACCTTTGACTCCC